ATATATATATTTATTTATTTAAGTTAAACCTTTAAGTCTTTGAAAAACTGGAGGCATGTGAAATTCCTCTCATGGTTTTCATGGAAGCAGGTCGGTGTGGTGTAAGTGGGCTTTGGCTCCACCTAGCGGCCGAACGTAGTCGCCACTTTTTGTGTGCGTTTGCGTCATCACGCTTCCTCAATCCGTGGAAATCCGCGATCAGCCCCCGGAATCAAGTTAGCGGGAGTCAGACCAAGAGCGGAAGGAAGTGGATTCAGCCTTCAAAATAAAACAGCTACGTGTTTTGTTTTTAGCAGAGCGCTGCTACAGAATGATGAATGATAGTATTTTAACAGCAAGTGACACATCCCATTAACAAAAACATGTAACACATTAAGAGTAAGCTACACAATTTATTTGAAAGCAGTAGTAGAAAGTAACCAAACACAGTTAAGTACAGTTTTGGGGTACTTTCTACTTTACTTCATTTTAGATAAGCATATACTTTATTAAATATTATCATATGTATAGTATAATATAGCTTATAATATATACTACATTGGCAGCTTTAATGATTAATTTGTAACATTTACATACATAAATATGCAATGTTATGGGTAAAAAGTATATAACTTAATTTCTCTACATAGCCCAAGTGCAACCCTAAATGCTACTTGTTTTACCACATTAGTAATAATATAATATAAACAATATAACACTGTTAAAGCATAATACGTAACTACTTTTATTTTGACACTTTAAATACATTCTGCCGATAGTAAAAATGTTGAACTAAAACGTTATTAGTAATGAATTAAGTATCATTACATTGGTTTGCCTTCGCTGACTCAAAATAATTCCACGTCTTTTCACATTTTATTTTGAAATATCGGACCGGACGCATCAGCTCACAGCAGTCGCTTGACTCTGCTGGTCAACGTTTCACCAACAACGCGATTTTTCTACGCGAGCCATTTCTCCCGGCGCTCTCTCACCCGGTTATTCACCGTTGTCTGAGAGAAACACCCCCCCACCGTAACACACACGTAGGGGCAACAACAAGTCAGACCCCCCCCCTCTCTCCTCGTCTTCTCGGCTGGCTCTGCTGCCAGCGGAACCTCGTCGGGATGGACCCAGCAAGCCGATACCAAGTGGTGAGTGCGGGCATCAAAACACCGCCGACAGCCCGGCCCTGCCCGGGACAGGAAACAAGGCCTCGCTTCTCTTTTTTTTACCGCTCAGTTAATTCCACCACGTAGACTTTAAAACCCAAAACAAGGAGCTGGTTTAACGTGTGGCTGCTTCTTGTTGTATTTCGGCTTTTGTTTGTCTCCGCGAATTGTTTTGTTTTGACAGCTCACCGAGCACTTCCGCATCGGCTAGGCTAACGTTAGCCGGATTCAAAGTGTTAGGCCTTTAAAAGTTTACGTCCCAATAAAAACTGCGCTGCAACACCTAACACACCGCACCGTGGCTGCACGTAGTGGCCAGCTGTGAACCCTGTGACACTGGTTACACGGCTGTTCACAAGCTGAGCGGGAAGGAGAATTTATTTTGTGGTTAATATTTCATGTGACTGCTGATGAATAATGTTTCTTCCGGGACTGACTAACACCTGTGTTTGGTGTTTATCTCTGAGTGTTTTTAAGGGAAACACACTAATAATTAAGTCACTGATCATTTAAAAACTAGCTTTTCCTCTTCATGTGTCTGTATATCAAAAGCAATGTGGACCTGGAGTTAAAGCTGCAGGAGGTGACTTTTATTCACACTTTTTTTTTGTCACTAGTGCTGACATTTTCAATATATCCTAAAAGAAGTACACGAGACAGATGAGCTGTAAAAAAAACAGGTTCCTCTGGCTCCTCGTTGCGCTCCTAAAACGGCATTTACACGAATCCGCCGGGCCTGGACGAAAACGACCAATCGGAGCCGAGAAAGATACAAAGACGCCCGGGGGTGGAAGCTTGAAGATGGCTGATTGTTGAGTCTTGTTCTTGTTTCAGGCCTTGTAAAAGCGATAAGGAGCACAAGGAGGACCTGATTTTTTGACATATTATCAGTCTCGTGTGCGCTTGTGTTCAGCGATATAGCTGAACAGCTTTCAGCAAATCATGATAAAAATATATTTTTTTTAAATGACCTACTGCAGCTTTAAGAAGAAAAAACCGGGCAGACCTCACAATGTGGTGAGTATTCGGGTTAACCAGCATTAAACCTGGAGGTTATTGCTGTTCTAAAAGTGTTTCCAGGCAAGTGAAGTAACAACAGTGGCTGAGAACATTTTGGAAACCGCTACGGCCAATTTGAGATAAAGTCCTCTTTGTGCTCCGATTCCTGCGGCTCTGGGTATGCGAGTGATAATCCCACAGGATTCAGAGCGAGCCGGAGCAAAACAGGCCTGCGCTCTAACTTTTTCAACCCTGACCAAAGTGCAGATTTCAACAGTAATCCACTTTTTGAACATTCGAACAACAACACCACGTCCAGGCAGCGGATTCTCAAGGATTATTTAGATACTCTCCTAGTTCTTCACACTCATGGTGAGGTTTGCAACAACAAAAAAAAGCCTAATTCCACTGTGCCCACACACTTTTTCATTGCTCCTCTTTCTTCTCTAAATAACGCTCACCCAACGCACTGCTGCTCTGAGCCGGCCCGTGTGAGTTTTGGGTGTATTTGGCTCGTGGCTATGTCGGCGCGCGGGGACGCTTTGTCCTCGATTCCGGTTCTGCGCGACGACGAGCAAATGTCCTTTAAGTCATGACTGTGTTTCTCTTTAAAAAAGAAAAGCCAATTTGTCTCCTGTTATTAGTCACATTTTAGTCATTTTATGTCTGACTAAGGGTTTTACAAAAGGGGTTTTCCCTGCTTGCAGTGGTGTCAACCACAAATATTGCCATTACATCACAGAAAGTATTAAATTAGATCATCTATTATTTGAACTTCCTACTTATTAGAATTAATTAGCTTTACTTGAAGTCGAAACTGAAATTGAAACATGAACTTTCTCACATACCGACGTTCTCTTGCGACCTCAACGGAAGGTATTTGACTAAACAGGTTCTGGTGTTTGGTTTATCAACACTTTTGAAATTAGTTTTACGGCCGCGGGCGAGTCGAACCTGCTCGGCCGCGTTGAGCGCGTAGCTTTTGTTAGCGTTGTAACAATTGTAACCGAACGTCCCCGTTGACGCTGGGTCATGGAGCCTTATCTTTAAAACGGGTGAGATGCCGGTGAGTAAACCATGACACGACAACCGTATGTCTAACGGTTAACTTTCTCAAGGGCACCTTAATGGAAGTCAAACAGAGGGTGAGGAGGAATCGCTCCCTCGCTTCGCCCACCCAGATTTCCCGCCAGCCGCTCTGTAACCAGCATGTTCCCATCGCCCCTCTGTAATTTCAGAAGGCGTTTGGCTCTTTGGTCTGACGAAAATTAATGTACTTAAATCCGTAAGCGACTCTCGGAGCTGTTACTAACTGATTACATGTGTATCACTTTTCCTCTGTTGACATGCTGCTGCTTACAGTGTCAGACATTCTGCGGAGGGCAAACGGCGTAGCTCTAACCCCGACCAGCAGACAAACACACACCACTTTATTTCAACACACTCTTCAAACAGCAGTTCAAGTTAGAATCCTTCACAATAAAAGCCACACGATGTTCTGTTTGCTTTCACAGTAAAAGCTGTAAAGAGAGTGACCGGAAAACAGCGAGGTTGTTATGAATGAGACAAATTTAAAGGGGGCATGTTTTAGCCTTTTTTTTTTTGACAGAAGAGGCAGGCAGGAATCAAACGGGCGACAGTGCGGTCACCGTGCAGCAGGCACTGTAACAATTTGGCTACCAAGGCGCTCCAGTGACACGAAATTATGCTGGTTTACATTCCACATGCTTAGATAGGCAACTGGACTCCAGTGTGGGAATGGCGTACCCCGCCACTACTGCTAATAATAACTACTGAATAGATATACATTGACTGGTTATTGCTGGAAAAGAAGTGGAGTGGAACTTTAAAGACACTTGTCCTTTATTAATGGGATATAACTGTTGGAAAATGGTTGATTTCCTCTTTTTCTGGGCTTGTCCTTTAGTTGTTTTGCGAAAGATAATGAGATAATACAAGTTTTTTTATTTAGTCGATTGTTTTTTGTTCCATTATCTGGGTGAAAAAGACACCGACCTTCATCTTGAGACTGTGATATGAATGGTTTGTAAAGTACAGGGAGGAAAAGGGCCATGTACTGTATCAGCGCTCGAAAATAAGGATGTCCCGTCGTCCCGTCGTCCCAGGGACAATAAAAATAGCACCCGGGACACAAAGATACGTTGTCTGGGACATATAGGTTGTTTGAGCTTGTAAATATGTAAACTGTGTGTTTGTTGATGGAGGGACAGTTGAAAGTAGACTTCAGGACAGGAAGACCGTTCATTTCGAAGCCCTTACTGTAGATGTGCCTTTAAGATTATGTGACAATTCAGCCCACTCATTCAGCTTCAAAATATCAATACAAACAACAAATAAATAAAAAAAACCCAAGGTCTGCCTGAACCACATTTTGTGCCAACAAACAAACACAGATTGCGCAAAGCTCATTTAGTTACCTAATAACTACCTTATGTTGGTGCTGCAATCAGAAAACAGTGCTGAAATCCCCCCGAACGCAGCCAGTGAACAGCCAATACACTTCCGCTGCTCTCTTTTCATTTGTGCCAGTTGTTATTTTAATCGGGAGGCGGCTACAGTTCTGACGTGTGGGCTCACGAGAAGCGGGGTCAGTGTTTCACGGTCTTTACGTGGCCGCACTTCTCTCAGCTTTAGCGAGATCCGCTCTCCTGCCGAGGAGAAAGCACAAGATCGATGCCAGTTTTAGACATTTGGAACAGGGTGAGCGTCCCCTCGAGCCGCCACACTTTTTGGCTGACTGATCAGCTGATCTGCTTGTGCCGATTCCTCTAACGCCCCCTCTCCCTTAACCCTGCGTCTCACCCTCTCCTCCAGTTGCACAATGAGGACGACTCTTCAGAGGCCTCAACCAGCGAGCAGCAGCCGTGCACTTCTGCCACAGCCCAGGCCGGTACGTCCAGCCAGGCCCAGAGTCAGGCCCAGGCCAGCCCGGCGCCCGCAGCAGCAGCAGCGGTAGGAGGAGCTGAGGCGTCGGGATCGAGGACTCAGGGGGAGGCGGAGGCACCTCCACCTCCTTACGCCTCCATTGACCTGGGAGCGACCGCCGCAGCACCCGGTACGTGTTAAAAGAACCTCGTTTGATTACTTTTCTTTTTGTCTGCGTCTTAATAGTTCCGTGTTTTTTTTTTTTTTTTTTCCGAGCAGCAAGTTGAATTTTTCCAAAGTGTGGTTACATGCTTCCTAAAATAGCAGCAGCTGCAGTCGGTGGCGTCTTTGCGGCGGTTCTCTGGAGCGCCTTTTACTCATGAGTCAGTGATGATTTCCATGACGGCATCACCACATTATTGGCAGCTTCTTCGCCAGATACTGCACGCGGTCCCTTTTCTTCCCTTTTTGTAAACCTCCTCCTCCTCCTCCCCCTCTCTCCGTTGTTCCCACAGAGCACCAGTTTCAGGGAGGTGACTTCCCAGTGCCTTCCCCCACAGCGTCGGCCACCTCGCTGCCCACGGTTATGGACGAAGCGGAGAAGGCCAAAGCGTTTTGCCGCCATGGGCCTACGATCCACCGTGGGACGGGTGATGCCACGGGGTGGAGAACAAACACACAGAGTTCCATGGAATGGAAAATAGCTTTTGCAACTCATCTGTTGGATTGTTGCTAATAGGTGTGGTATATTTTTAGCCGTACAGATGGTGAACTGTTTGTCTGCTGTGGTGGGGTGTTACGGATTGCATGAATTCCCCCCAGGACGATTTCAGTGACGCCGATCAGGCTTCGGGTGGAAACGATTGGAATCTTCATGCTTGGCCTTTTTTCAGTAAGGTCTGCTCATGTTAACTGTTTCCATAACCTGCTTAAAACTCCTGTCAGTACATTTAAAGTTGTCCTAGATGGCACCCTTCATTCAACATAAATTCTCTCCCAGCTTGCTTCGAATTTAGAACATTCTTCCACAGGGCCTATTTAAAAAAATACCCCAAAAGATGGCCCAAATTGATGTGCCCTGGGCTTGATCAGAATCCTTGCTTCAAAATCACCAGAATATCTGTCAAACGTTTGTCCTCTAGTGGGCGCTTCCTGTTCAACTGGATCTTTTGTTGCGT